CCGTCTTGACCTCACCGCGTGATTTTCTAAGCATATTATTACATTTAATGCACGGACACTGGATTCTTACACCAACCTCAGGTTTAGAAAATACAAAGTTCAAAAAATATTCCACAACATTCAAGTATTCCGGTAATGTCCTATTCTTAATAAGTACCCAATTCTTATGCATCATATACTTACCTACAATGAAATATAAAACTATATAATTAAAATTGTAAAACTATATATTTAACTTTCTCTTGCTGCAATTAATGGCACAAATGCAATTTAATAGGGCCACAATGCAAGAACGAACACCGATTAAAAACTAAAAAATGCGCATTATTAACCTTTTCAAGATTATACAGATTTACTCCCAAACATCATACTCAGGCTCAACCCGAGACACCAATAAATAACTATAATAAAATGTACATTATTAACATCTTTAATATTATGAGTATAAAGTAGAATCCAACAAAATAACTTGTGATTTCGCAAGTGAATATTGGGTACCATCAAAGAAGAAATTATCAGACAGGATTAACCACTTCTAAAAATTTTATTCTATTGCAACATCAACTTAGAAATTCCATAACTTAAAAAAACAAAGAAAAAAACAAAAACTAACAAAATAATTCTAACGAAAGTCCAGAAAAGTAAAAAGAATGAAAATCAAACTTGGACACGCGCGTCTCTCTCATGTTTGTCTCTTTGCATGATTTTGTATTCTGTTGTCGTTCTAAAGTATGGCTAGAATTTCCAACTTATAAGAGAGACCACATTATTGGACGCGAGCAAATGATCAGTCGGAAAAGATGTAAAAAATACATTCAGTAAAAAAAAATGGATTCTATCTCAATACAAGGAAGACTACTTCATAGTTCTATCCAATTAAGCTCAAGAACAGTAATTTATGAAATCCTTCAAACCCAGTGGAAACACTAGAAATACTAGTACTGGTTGGGTTAATCAATGGCTAGCCCTTCATTAATACAACCAATTATTTATGATTTTTCCGAACGCCGACAGGGTATTTCAAATTAAGGTGATGATTGACGTTGTTGATCAATTGATACAATTTCTAACTTCTTTTCCCACTAACTAAAAGACAAAATTTTAGACTTTTTTTTAGTGAAAGTGGAAGAAATTGATGATTAGAAAAATTTAAGGGGAATATCTCTTGATAATTTACAAACTTTTCCAGAAAAGTAAAAACAATGAAAATCAAAGTTTCTTTACTTTCCTCAACCAGAAAATAAGCCACTAAATAGCAGCAAGAGAAACTTCAGTTTGAGGTATAAAAACCCCCTTCTCAAAAATCCTATCTTCTCCAATTCTCATCTTTTTTCCTAGTCTAAAAATTTTGAGTTGTATCATAAAAAGAAAGAAAAAAACGGAATAGATTCCATAGGTATCGCAAATTAAGAAGAAGAATACCCATTAAACTAAATCAAAAGCTCAAAGCAGTAGAAACGAAATCAAAAGCGAGAACTCACCAGATTCTGGGTTGAACACAACAGAAGAGATGGAAGAATTGAACACCAGACCTTAGTTTAGCAAAACAATGAAAAGAGAAAACCTACAGTGGAAACTAAAATTGGGCGCTAAGAATTTGGGGAAAACTGGAAAAGTAATAGAACGGGAAAATTTGGCGCGTTTGTTTTGGCGGAAAACTATTTTGGCGTAAAATTTACTAAATTTTAGGCCACAACTAAAGGGGGTTGTAAAGAAAGTTTTGTGTTTAGCAACAACTAAAATTTGTTGTTGCCAATTATTTTTATATTTTATATTTATTATATTACTCCTGAGTTATAAATTATATGATACAGCAACAATCTAATCCCGTTATTGCCATTTAATAAACTTAGCCAACAACCATAATGTTGTTGGTAAGAAGTCGTTGCTGGTTTATATATATGTAAAATTTATTATATTATTTTTTTAAAATGGCAACAATATTAAAACTTCTGCTAACAAAAAAAATTTTGTAGGTAAAAATTTTATGATATAGCAACAACTAAATGAAGTTGTTGCCATTAATTATATTTTGCAACAATATTATTGTTGTTGTAAAAAGATTGTTGCCAATTCTAAACTTTCTTGTAGTGAAAAGACATAATGTATAAAATTTATATAAAAATTATATTTAAGTAGTATGATATTGTAGTTGTATATAACTGGGTAGAAATAATATATGAAAGTTGTATAATATAATTAGTTGTATGAAATTTATTTTTAATATGTATAAATCAGATAAAAAAATAAACAAAACACATATTGTATAAAATTTATATACAAATTGTATTTACGTGGGATCACAATTATTAATAATAGAAACGAGAATCTACAAATCAAAACTAATTGGCGAAAAAATAGCGTTTCGCCGGAAAAGAATTAACTGTTCAGATCAATAATTATTTCTTCATCTTTAGACAATTTAGGCATTCACTTCTCTTTACGTATTCAAGAAGAATTTTGGTACGCGCAACCCAATGATCCAAAGTCTCCACTTGTACATAGAGATCGGCTTCGAATTTTTACGTCAAAGTCGACGACTCCAAGCTATTTCCAACAAGATTGAGCAACACTTAATTGATTTTCAACACAAACATTTGAGTTTAATTGAAACCAGATGAAGCTTCAACGTGAGGAGAGAAAGGTATAACGGAAGATCCGGAGAGAAAAGGGGAAAGAGGAGAGAAAAAAGGAAAAAAGTATAACTAAATTCCTTGATTAAAGGCACGGATTGGGAACCTTATAAGGTGGAATCTATATATTTTAGATAAAACTTGTTAAAGTCGGGTTAACTAAACGTGGACATTTTTGTAATAAAGTTTCAAATAGTGTATAGGTATGTAAAAAACCCATTCTGGGGAACTTAGTCCAAAAAAAGCTTACTATTTCCTCAATCCCTCGGCCCAAATTAATTATAACTGATGGACCATTATATTTGCAAGACCGACATTTGCTAATCATCCTTTTCATCATTTAACTACTATATTTCATGCTCATAAAAATATAAATCAACACCCAAATACTTATAAAACAACAATTACAGTAAATAGCACATTAACCCAAATAGTAAATGACGTCATGGAATCATTGACCAAAAATCTCAAGAATATGGATAAACAAAATAAACTCACTAAACTAGTGAAAGGAAAAGACTATAAAACTAAAAGAAAGCATTCTTCATGAAGCATGAATTAGACTAAATCATGAGATACTTCTCTAGCTGGAAGTATACACTGCGATGAACACATAAACAGGGATTCCTCATTCACAGATAAAGAAAGGATCTTAAGAAGCTTGTTTTAGCATTGAATAATTAAAAAATACTTATAAAGCGTAACACAAATTGTCCTTTGGACATGAACAAGAAATTGAGTACAAATTCAAACATGTCTATCAACACACTAGCTTAATATTTACAACTAAAGCTCAATACTACCAAATGTTAAAAAACAGACTCCAAGAAAGAACACAACATGTAAGATCAAAACTACTCTATTGTGAAAGAAATTACTTTAGAAGGTTAAGAACATTACCTAGTTGCAGAAAATACTAAACAGCAGCAAAAGAATGGCAGTTACCAACAAGCATTCAGCAAATAAGACTCCAACAGCAACAATGAGACTCAAGACTCAAGACCTCTTCTCCAAAATTGAACCCAAAATCTGTCCAAAGGGTGAGAAAGGACAGTGCTCTTCTCCAATTTCAGACACAAGCATAGAGTAGATGTACTCCCAGCAAACATGTACTTTACTCTCAAGTATTCCTATATTACCTAAGCTTTTGTCAATACCAAACCATCCTACTACTTTAACAAGTACAAAAACAGAAAATTTAGCATTCCAAACTCCAAAAATTAAACTAATGCTAATACAAGTAATCAGAGACAAAATAAAATTCAACGATTAGGCAAACAATGTATTGACAGAGATTAGCTAATCAAAATCGATTAACTAAAACAACGGCGAAATCAGATATTAGACCGAATCATGAATTATATCAAAACGAAACTCACTCTCAACTAAAACCTACAATCAGATAAAAGAACAAATTAAAAATCAAAGACGAAGAAGCGAGGGGATAGGATTTCACCAATCGAGGGCACTCGAAGCGGATTCAGGCCACCAGAAGAGGCCGAAGACATGGAGTAGCAGCTGTCCAACCTCAAAACACGCCTTTCTTGTTGGAAGAGACTGAAATTGTGGACCTCGATGAACTAGAGATCAGTTATAGTCTCATCACCAACAGGAAAAGCCTGTTCGAGACTGTTTGTGGCCAAAAAAGGTCGCTGGGAAATCTGCCGGAATTGGTCACCGGAAATTGGGTTCAAAACAGTACCAATTGACAGATCAAGTAGCGAAATACACTCTCACGTAGGTCTTATGGGGGTAAAGGCAACCGAAACTTGACAAATTTCATAAAGAAAAGGGGGCTAGGGTTTCTAACTTTATCAAAATCGCGAAGATGAGGTAAGAATTGAGGGATATGGGGCTTGGAATCATGTAGAGGAGAGTGAGATGAAGAAATGGTGTTATTTGGTGGTGGTTGAAGGTAATCCGCGGCCGGTAGACGGTGGCATGGGCGGCGCCGGCGATAAAGGGAAAAAAGGAGAGAAGAGAGGGGACCAAGGTTTAGGAGAGTGAAATGAAGCCTAAAATCAGATTATAGGATCTTTTATATGACAAATAAAATTAGTTCTGGACCATTGGATCAAGGATAATGGAAGCCTGAGATTTGATCTATGTAACCTAATCAAACGGCGTAGTTTTACACGTCGTTTAGCCTCTCCCCTGGCAGCCCTCTCTGTTGGCCTTGATATTGCATTCTTGGCCAATATCTCTTTCGAATTTGGCCTAATTTCTCCCCTATCCCCTTATATTTAAACCATTCAAATTATAATCCTATTTGATCTATCAAACTACATAAGTACAGTTAATTATTAATCATCTAGTCAATTAATCAATTGATTTAATTACTTGATCAAATAATTTTACACAAACAAATAAGGAAAATATTATGGTATTTTTTATTTAAAAATGCAAAAATTTTGCATTTACAATACATATAAACTATATTTGCATTCTGATAACTAGTGGAACTTGCATGGGTATTACACAAACTCTATTCCTAAAGATCTAAATAATGCGGAACATCGGCAGGAATCCATTTGTCACCTTTTATGAAATGTTTGACCGTGAAATTTGATGCAATCTCTGAATTTCTAGTGGCAGACGCCCACTTCACTCGTCCCTTTCTAATTGCGCCAGGTCCTCTATTCTCATACTCAAGATAGTATGGTTGAACTAACGGCCTGGTTATAAATTCAATCCATCCTTTTGGATTGATAAAATTGTCAATGTAACTTTGCATGACCACTGTTCTAGAGAAATCACCCCATGGTCGACCTAAATATGTGGTAACATTGCCCATTTTCTCCAACTCTTGAGTTGCTTTTAGTGTGCAGTTTTGCAGCACTACTCCCGTTGTGTTGTTTACAAATCTTCTACGTTGGGCTGTGATTGTATTATATTGATTGGGTAGCGGCAGGCGTGCTTCAATTAAGCAGTTCTGAAACACCGCGGTTGCATCACCACAGATGAAATCTATGGTGCCAAATATTTCACAATCCCTATAAAATTGTAGGCCCTTTTTTGTGTATAAGGTGTCTTGAAAGCCATCGAAACGACACCTATAGAAAGTGAGATATTCAGCTTCTGCTCTTAATGCTACTGCTTGTTGGTTCTCTCGTCTAGCATTGTTCCTAAATGTGATATCTTGGGCCATGAAGCCCTTTCCATTGACACCTAATTGAAATGAAACAAAGAATATTCACATCAGCAGAATTAAAAATATCATACTATGGTTTGAGTATAGTAACAATCGATCACTTACCCACAGTAGCAGTGAGACTTGTCTTGATGCCATCGCCACCGTAACTCTTATTCCCTGAAATTATGGTATTATCCATGCCTTCACCGATTAGGACTATGTTTGTCTTCCATTTATCTACTTGAATATATTCATAATACGTCCCTTGCTTAATTATGATGTAGTATTTATTTAGACTATTGTTTGGTGCTGAAATTATGGCATCCGTTATTGTGGTGTAATTCCCTGAGCCATCTTTAGCAACAATTGCGTGAGGTGTTTTCACTTGTTGGCCTTCACCACATAAAAGGAGTGGCAAAATGGCAATAACTGCAATAAACCACATAGCTCCGACTGAGATTTTCCTGCACTTGATGAGCCACGTATCAAAATATTATTCAAGTCAGGAAAAATATTATGGACTAGAATATACAATGAACTCAAGTTTAATTATGGTCATCGATTATAAGATATGCAACAAGATCTAATAAACAAAACGGCTATATAACCTTGATTGTTTTAAAATTTGTCACTGGCAAAAAACAAAATTGAGCTTCAACTTCTTTCGTGATGCTTCTATAGAGAAAATTAAAGTATGTAGCCAACTTCAAATGTAAACATTCGTAGTAATGGTATGTTTAGTGGAGATGATTTCACCCAATTTATAGTGAATTTTGATTTCCATATTTGATAGTCTGCATATGCATTAATGGAATCCTTCAAATGGAACATTTCGATGTTTTTCGTATTTTCCAAATGCCTCCATTATCAGCTGCAATGTGTATACTTTTTTCGTTCATATAGTAATTATAGTATATCTTGCTTTAGATGTAGCATTTCTTATTTTAGATTCTTTTTTGGAGGAAGGGGATGAGGGAAGGAATGACTTGTAAATGGTAGAAGAAAATGACATGAATTAATACTCTAATAGTTAATGGTGTTAGTTGAGTGGGAACTGAAAATCTGGAATTATTTTTTATTTAGTATATGGGCTTATTTGGTTAGAGATGCTATTATTATTTTCTGTTATAGCACGTAACACTAATTACAGAAGAGAACATTAATTTTTCTCTTTGGAGAAATTGAACATATATTGACAGGATTGTCTTTATATAAAAAATCGGATTACTACTCCTTTGAGGCGGAGCTATACTTCGACTTATGAGTTCGGAATAATTCAATAACTTTGGCCTAAACTTTGTATTTGTGTTTAAAATTTAATTAATATGTACGTACAAAATATTCAGAATCCCAAAATTATTAAATTTTAGATCCGCGTCCACCTACAATGTCATTGTGCAGTTGTAGAAATATTTTCGTTCATATAGCAATTATAGTCTATCTTGTTGATATGTAGCATTTCTTTTTTTAGATTTTTTTTTTTTTTTTTTTTGGAGGGATGAGAGAATTAGGAAAGAGGCAACAACCATATAACATTATTAAAATAAAAAATTGGGGAAGTTACTAATATCTGGTCTATTTCTCAAATGGCTATCGTCCTTTAATCAATATTTATTTTGTGTTTAGGCTTATTTAGTATTATGTTATTAGTGCTATTATTTTCTGTTACAATACTAGCACTAACAGCAGAACTTCTCCTTATAAGAAGAAAAATATTATACAAGTTTCAGACTTCTTCAACGTGGTGATGCATTAAGGTAAACATTAAACTGCAATTGCCCATCAATTAATTGGTTTGTACCCCCTTTTAGTCTTCTTTTCGTAAAAGTAGTTTTCTTGCGTGTTCCCCTTATTTATTTTCCATTAATTATCCCTAAAATAATGGTGTAGACGCTTTCCTTAACAACAACAGATCATTAGAAAAAAAAGAAACTGAAAAAGCTACCACTTATCGGTCTATTTTTCTAAACTAGTATTAATATGGTCTTTTAATCAATTTATTATGATATTTAGTCTAAATTAGATGTCTTTTATGTTTGTTAAATAATACTCTTTGTACCTTTTGATTGTGACCATTTACTTCCTTAATCTTAAAATCAGTTGTCAAAATATTGGCCCGTTACTTGGACTTTGAAAATATAAAAAATGAACCTTCACTTGTAAGGAATTGTTGCACATTTTCTTTTGAAAAATGAAGATAAAAATATCCAAAATACCCAATAGTAATGTATAGAAATGAATAATATCTATCTAATTGCCCTGAATAAACATTACCTTAGGTGACATTAACATGGACCAATTAGTTTGTGCCACAATAATGTTATTTTAATTAATTTCACTTCATAGTATTAACCAACCAACTTATCGGCATAAAGATATGGTTTAAAATTTGGATAATTCGAATCGCGATTTTTTATGATTTAAATCGAGAACCAAAGGGAGGAGTTGGTTTATGCATTAGACAAACAAAACAAGTGAAAATTCTGTTTTTTTGTTAACAAGCAAAATTCTGAAGTTATCGAATGAATATTTCGGAAAGATTCTCTCTACCTTCAAGATCGAGGCATAGTTCTTTTGCTACAGTTTCATCTGAATCTATAACTTTCGACGTTAGAGTATAAATATATGTAAAAACTTACTAAAATCTCAACAAATATTAGATATGAACCCATAATTTTAACAGTACAATGAGTTCAATGCTGGGAATCTTAAAGTAGAACCCGTTAAATTTAAATCTTGGATCTGCCTCAGGGGATAAGATATGCGTACACACTATTCTCCCCAGACTCCACCTGTGGGATTATACTGGATTTGTTATTGTTGTTGTATTATCGAATGAGTGTTTCGCTTTTTCAAGGGTCGACTGGAAATTAACCAAGATTTTTCAATGTATAATCTATGTATATCGGCTGGAAAAAGTAAATATTGAATCTGCCACCTATTTATATAACATGTAAGCATAAACTATAATTCTACCAGGATCTTGAACATGATAATCTTACATGTAATCGTCATAGAAAACATACCTGAAGCGGAATCCATTATCTTGAAGCGGAAGCGTTAATCAGTAAATTGGTTTCTCGCCCCTTACCCTAGCTTTCGTTACCGCCGCCTTTAGTGATGGAAGAAAGAAAAAAAAATGGTAACCCTAATGGGTGGGGAGAGGACCAATTTATAGAGGTTCTCACTTAATCTGGTACGTCCATCAAGTAACCAATCGGACGGATGAGTTTTGATAATTAATTAAATATTAGTTATGGGCCTTAACCTATTGGGCCACATACACTTAGGAAAATAACTTACATTCTCCCACTTGGCCCAATAATCACATAATATTAATATTTAATATATGAACATTAGTTGCGCATAAACAAATCTCTTCTATAATGTCCATCATAAATACCATAATACGATAAACTACTAAACGTGAGTTATGGCGGTTATATATAATTTGTCTACATACTCCCTTCCATATACTACAACATTAGCAACTCACCGCACTAGGTCCATAAGCTATAAAATATTATGGTCCACAATAATATCTCATTGAGACTTATCCTGTAACATCTCAAAACAATAATGTGTACACCATTATGAGAAACAAGAAATCACTAATGTATATCAGAAACATATAAATGAGCTCAGAGTGTCAAAACATCATAAATACATCAATCATAAATACAGCCAAGACCCATTCTATGTACATGTTCTTTAAATATCTTTGGCTGTAAACCTTTCGTTAACGGATCTGCAATCATGAGATCAGTTCTAATATGCTCAAGTGACACTCTTTGTTTCTGAACTTCCTCCTTGACGGTAAAGTACTTTAATTCCATATGCTTGGAACCTTTGGAGTATTTATCGTTCTTGGAGAAGAATACTGCTGCAGAATTATCACAGTAAATTTTCAGCGGCTTGGTAATGGTGTCGACAACCCCAAGTCCTGAAATAAAGTTTCGCAGCCATAATGCATGAATTGTGGCCTCAAAACATGCTACAAATTCTGCTTCCATCGTGGATGTAGCAATGACAGACTGTTTGGCACTCTTCCACGATATTGCTCCTTCAGCTAATTGGAACAAATAACCAAATGTGGATTTTCTAGTATCAATACATCCAGCGAAATCTGAATCCGAGTATCCAACAACTTCCAAATGCTTGGATCTCCTATACATGAGCATGTAATCCTTCGTTCCTTTCAGGTACCTCAAAACTTTCTTTGCAGCTTTCCAATGATCAATTCCTGGGTTACTCTGATATCTTCCTAACATTCCGACCGCAAAACTGATATCCAGTCTTGTGCAAGTCTGAGCATACATCAGACTACCAACAATAGAAGAGTAAGGAATTGATTCCATTTCTTTTCGCTCTACATCATTCTTAGGGCATTGCATGAGACTAAATTTGTCCCCCTTTTGAATTGGAACAATTCCTGCTGAACAATTGTTCATATTGAATCTCTCTAGAATTCTTTCGATATAGCCTTTCTGAGACAATCCCAATAATCCTTGTGATCTATCACGGAATATTTCTATTCCTATCACATAGGATGCCTCACCCATATCTTTCATTTCAAAATTCTTAGAAAGAAAATCTTTAGTCTCACGCAATATGCCTAAATCATTAGCAGCAAGTAGAATATCATCAACATATAGGACTAAAAATATAAACTTGCTCCCACTGATCTTTTGGTATATACACCGATCAACGGTATTTTCCACAAATCCAAAAGATGTTATGGTATCATTAACCTTTATATACCATTGTCGTGAGGCTTGTTTAAGTCCATATATTGACTTCTTCAGTTTACACACCATTTGACCTTTTCCTTAAGTTTCGAAACCCTCTGGTTGGTCCATATACACTTCCTCCTCGAGATCTCCATTAAGAAAGGCAGTTTTCACATCCATTTGGTGTAACTCTAAATCATAATGAGCCACCAAAGCCATAATAATTCTTAACGAGTCTTTCTTTGAGATCGGTGAAAAGGTCTCTTTATAATCAATGCCTCCTTTCTGAGTATAACCCTTGGCAACAAGTCTGGCTTTGTATCTCTCAATATTGCCATTTGAATCGCATTTGGTCTTAAAGACCCACCTACACCCGATTCTTTTAGAACTTTCTGGCAATTCAACAAGATCCCAAACTTTATTGTATTCCATGGATTTTAACTCTTCCTTCATGGCATCAATCCATTTGTTAGACTCATTACTTTCTATGGCTTGTGAAAATGAAACCAGATCCTTATTAAGACCAATGTCAAAATCTGACTCTTGCAAATAACCCACGTAATCATCCGAAATAGCCGATTTTCTAACTCTTTGAGATTTTCTTAATGGCATTTCTTGTGGTTCATTTGTGTCAGATATTTGTGAGTTAGTTTCCTCGTGAAGTGTTTCATCCAAATGTTGCTCGGTGTTATCAAAGTATTCTTCAACAACTGGAACAATATTTGGTATTTGTGTGGAAGTAGGCACATTTCTGGGTAATAGAATATTGACCTTCACCTCTTTAATTTTCACACTTTGCTTTTCAACACTCCCACTAACTTCACCATTTTCAATGAATCTTGCATTACCG